GTTGTAGAGGGTTAAATGTATGGAGAAAAGTATGGAGAATATGCAGATTGATGTTAGTTGTAGAGGGTTAAATGTATGGAGAAAAGTATGGAGAATATGCAGATTGATGTTAGTTGTAGAGGGTTAAATGTATGGAGAAAAGTATGGAGAATATGCAGATTGATGTTAGTTGTAGAGGGTTAAATGTATGGAGAAAAGTATGGAGAATATGCAGATTGATGTTAGTTGTAGAGGGTTAATAAGATCTCTTTTCCCTTTTGATTGTCCTACACCATGCACATATCACACGATATACACACTCATAAAAAAAAATCCTAGCACCCAATTGAATAACTCACAGGAGCACCCTTGTCTCCTTTGACTTCCTGGATCCTACCAGCTCCAGGACCCTTTGAATTTCTATCCAGGATGATCTGGTAGAAACAAATAACATAAATTAAGCAGCAAGAAGCTTAAGACCTGTAACAAGGTAACCAATTCACACCTAGGATTAACAAAAAATTAACTTCTTGCAGTATCAACACATCATCCAAATCATCATTCATAGGATTTTCCTCACATGTCCAATAGGATCAACTGGTCCATCTCCTGGATCTCCTGTAGGGGTAACAGAAATTATATCCCCAGGGGGACCTGGTGGCCCCCTTGGTCCTTGCACACCCCGTTCTCCTTTTAATCCATCAGCACCTGCTGCACCCTACAAAAAACAACAATAAAACTCTGAAACATGTATCACAAGTTCACTCTTACAGGGTTGTAGCTAGGAAATTATGTTGCCAGCAAAAATTTCAAGTAAGGAGGCTCAAAGGTGGTGAACAATTGCTACAAGCCGACATGTTCAAACACGTCTCCAACCCTGACCTTCTTACCAACAGTCTTTCACACTACCTGTTAGCTACAGGCATGCATGTTCAAACACATCTCCAACCCTAACCTCCTTACCAACAGTCTTTCACACTACCTGTTAAGCTAAAGGTCAACATGTTCAAACACGTCTCCAACCCTGACCTAC